AATTGCCACGTACCAGCCAAAATAATAGGGATTGGAAATGAAGGGCTACCTTCAAATGTTGAAAATACCCTAGCATCTGGATGGATATCAGAAAGTTAAATTGCATAATTCAATCGTTATACTCACAAAAGATTAGAAATATATATATAAGGACCAAAGAAATACTGAACAATCTATTCATGCACTGAAAACAGAGCTAGATTGTAGACTGCTGATCATTGTGCAAAAGAAGCCCATGTCAAACCCAAGAATAAAAAATTTGACCAGAACTTTAAAATAAAAAGAAAATTATATAACCAATGCCATAGAGTGCCAAAATGAAGTTTAGATTCAACATAAACAAGTTGAATATGCTATTTAATAAAGCAAAAACCTGCATGAACTAATAATACAAGAGACCTATGGACTAAATTTCAACTCAAAGCCTTAAAATTGAATGCCAAATCAGCTTTAGGTCATATCAGAGGAGCCTAGCCTAGAGGGATTACCTGCTGTAGGTAAATAGTAAGTTTAGCGTCATCACCAGAAATACATTGCAAGTTTGCAGAACCCAAAGACACCATGCTCTCACATATATATTCTGCAAACTCAAACTCACTTTCATCTATAACCCCAGCATTTGTTACAGATCTATGTAAAAATTCTCCAGAGACATTCATCAGGATCTGAAAGACATCATGCATTGCAGAATCAAATTCAGAAGCTGATGAAGAAGCATCAAAAGGTCTCTTTCTGCAATTCAAATTAAGAGTTAAATCAGTCATGGGAAGATTCTTCCAGGGAAAAGATATTCAAACTAAAGAAGAGATTAAACAATAAAATTACCTTGGTGAGACAAGTTTGAAAAATTCACAAGCATGAAGACGGAAGTCAGGTGAAGAAAGTAAGAAGCCACACCTGATGAGAGACAGTGAAAACAAGTAAGAAGCCAATCAATCCCAACAATTTGAAATTATACTCTACGGGAACTGCAAGAAAAGTTATTATACCCATGAATGATGCCATATTTAGCAAGATCAGGCAAAGGAGCCCATTCAGCGTATGCGTTTATAGCATTCAAAGTAGCTGTTACTGCAGCTGCATGCTGCTTTGCAATGTCTAATTGTTGTCTACCAACTTCACTTATTGCAGCTCCAAAGTGTCTTTCCAGTAACTGTTTAAAAAATTCTGGCATCACATTAATGCTAAAACAACTAACTTGTAGTACAACCAAGAGTGAGACATACAGTGTACAATAAAGGCAAAATTTCAGGCAAAGATTGAGTAAGTCCCCGCAAAAGCAGTCTACGTCGATCACCTGGATATCCATTCAGAATCAGGGTAAGTGACACAAACAACACAAATCTAAAAAGAAGTTAAAGTTTCAAAGAAATATACTTAACAAGAACAACAAAAATATGATGGAAAAAACAGCCGCTAAAGGAAGAACACCCACTAAACTAAGGCTAGGTTGATAGGAGAGGACAGCAGAAGGATGAAGGGATAGTGAATGACACTTTTCTTTCATTTGGTATAATGAGAAAAGGAAAGGATTGAAGAGGGAAGAGCGGTACTTTTACATCCTCATTATCTAATCATCCCAAAAAGGATGGCAAAGAGAGTGACCAACAGTAAAAGTTATTAAGAACATATTGATCCCCAATTTTTGTTCCCCATCCTCCAGCGATCCATCCTTCCTATGAAACACAAAGAAGGAAAGCACTATGCTGTTTCTTCAATTTTTCATTTCTCTACTTTTCCATCTTTGACCAATCAGGCATTAGCAACAAACTCTAAATGAAACTTTGGAAACTCTACACCCATACTTGTCATTTGGATTCAGATGTCCATAGATCGACTGCTTACATTCTAAAATATAGCATTCAAAGTGCTTAAGAGTTTCCAAAGTACATAATACTTATTTTTGGCACGCACACACTCTAAAGGAGCATGACCAAGGAACAGACCACAGACCTTCTAGATCTTCATTGTGAACTGTAATATCTTCAGGAAGCCACCTTAGCATCATTGAAACCAACTCAGCCTAATATAAAAGGAAAAGATCAGTACAGTTACCTATTAAGAGTAAGAAAGCAAAATAATTGCTGCAAAGCAGGATAAGTTAGAAATACTTGTATGGGACCCTTGCTGGATAAAGAAACTAGAGATGGAAATAGCTCTTGCCACAGATTTATGCCTTCTCTTCTAACTATCTGTTAAAGAGCAAAACAAATGAGTACTGCAACCAGGAAACTGAAATCATTAAAATAAAATAAAAAAGAGCCTAAACAAAAGTTAAGAGCAGAGTAATGAAAACCTCAGCAAGAAGGGCAGCTGTCTGACTTTTCAAAGCCCATTCTTCACAAGGATCTGCAATCTCAGACATTAAGTCGACTGCAACATTTGCAAAGTCCCTACGTTCTGTAGGGTTCAATTCCTCCCACCGTAATCGGACCAAGTGCTGCAGAAAGATACATATGCTACAGTCAAACCACTAAATTTATCTTCAAAATTTAAACACTTATAACCTGTAGCAGCTAATTAAGAAATAATTTTTTGTTACATGGAATTCAACAGGCATTGGGTGTTTCACATTAAAACCATCTTTGCAAATTCTTTGAATCAAAATTTGCGTATCTAGGTTGCAAAGTTATCAGAATTATGATTCGCCTAATTCAAATTTCCGAACCATAGATATGCACCAATATTCATAAGAATTTTCAGTTCACTAATTGAAGTTACTTAAAACATTGATAAACACATTGAATCTATATCACTAGTGATTGGCAAATATTGCATATGATGAACAGTTAAGCATTATTTCTTTCCTAGGAAATATGCTAATTCAAGTTAAAACTGTCATGCAGCATTTTAAATGCATGCAATCAGAATTCAGCCGATTTAATCTATAGCACCTCAAAGATGATTTTTATAACATAACATTTCGAAACATATCAATTTCCATCATACTGGATGAGTTAGATCAACCGTAAGGACAGAAAAAAATTCTTTTCAGCATGAACCTGGAGCATTTTAAATGCATGTAATCGGATTTCAGAAGACCAATCCTTTTTCACTAGAAGGAATGATGTACTCGCCAAAAACCGTATCTCTCCTGTTTTTACCTGCAAATAACAGATAGCACGTAAGGAGCACATTTTCAATTTTGCCTCTTTTCTAATAGAATAATAGTCCATTCTCAAAGCCTGTTTGGAACTAAAAACTCTAAATTAGCACAAAGTAGCAAAGTGATCTTCAAAAACAAACACCCAATCATAGCTATATTTCAACAGCACAAATGTATAGTACTGAATTTAACGGTCTGATCACTAATACTCTTTTGTTTAAAGCCTGAACCTAAATCAAACCACTCATCCCTCTCATAAAATTTCACAAGGTTACCACATTCAAGAAGTTGAATTCACAGAAACCAATTTTTCTTTCTTTCTAAGGCCTAAAACTCAATAAGTTTTTCACAATAGAAAGTAGAATAACACCACAATACCCATTTCTTAAAAATAAATAAATATATAAATAAACCTGAAAATAAACCAAATTACAACCACAAAGAGTTCACAAACTTTCCCACCTTTTAACAGTTCAAATTATTTAAGCCATTAAAACTTCAAACTTTATCACCAAAACAAAATTTCCCAGATATCCCTTTACCAAATCCCCATAAAGTTCACAAATTTACCACCTATTGGCCTCCAAAATCAAAATTTGAGAAGTACATAGACATCAACCGAACGAAACAGATTGTGAAGGAACATGCAGATATATAAAGAGAACAAAAAAGAAAAAAAAAAAGAAGAAGTACGGATTCAAGGTAAGAGACGGCGGCTTTGCGAGCTTCAGGAGTTGAACTCCAAGCAAGGGCAGCAGCAATAGCTGCAGCCACATTGCTTGCCGGGTTATTATTAGCATCCGCCATCTACACTGCCCCTGAGCTCGAATGGGTTTGATTTTCTCTGCCCGAGATTAAGTTTCTTGAGAAAGCTTTTGTTAGAGAGAAGGAGAAAGAGCAAAATGCTATGTGTTCTTCTTCCTAAAAGGGGTTTATCAAAAGCTTTTGAGTCGGAAGAGGTTTTAAATTGGTGTTCAAATAAGCAATTAGAGATTTGTATCAGAAGCTTCTGACTTCTGAGTCGGAAGAGGTTTTAAATTGGTGTTCAGATGAGCAATTAGAGATTTTTATCTCCTAGTTTAAATATCATTCCATTGAAACCACTGTATATTTTACAAGGAATATTTTTGTTGACTTGTTTGAATTTGCCATAAACTTCTTTTGAAATCCATTATCAATGTTGAAGTTTTCTTGACATCTAAAATTAGAAAAATATACAACTTATTATTATTTATTAAGTATTTATTAAGTTAAATTCATGTTGTATCTTTGTAGTTTGTATATAAAATTTATATGTTGAATATTATTCTAAAAATGACTTGAACGAGGGTTTTGCCAGATTTGCTAATGAGTGGGATCTATTAATAATGGTAGACATTAATTTTAACATAGATTCTATTACTTAAAAATTTTATATATATATATATATTCAAGAAATACTTTGAAGTGTATTATTCAAGAGGTTTGAAGTTTGAGTCTCTATTTGTTGTTAATATGAGTTATCACTGAGATTATTATCATCGGATAGTTTTAAAGTCTTCAAAATAAGTTGAGGTCTGATCATAAAAAAGAAGATGTATATTATTTTATACTTTACATTTGATATTTTTTCTTTATCCTTGTTGTATAAGTTGCTTCTTTTCCAAGTTGTTAATTTTCTTTACGCATGGACTCATATGACAATCTTTTTGGCCAAAGTCCAAACACACCATCTTATCATATTTTATAGAGCCTTGTGAAAGTTTCCCACAAGAGATATTAGCCTCATCAGCACTGCTGGCAAGACAAAGATGTGTTTGTTAATTAAAAGGTCTAAACCTAAACATAAAAAATTAAGATAAGATTCTCCTGGATAATGCAAATAATCATGTTCCATTGTAAGTCTCAAAAAAAATTGTATAAGTTTTGACAATGTGCCAAAAAGGTTTTTTAAGACAAATCAAAATGTACATAAAAACTGCAGAACTTTCACTATCCCAACAAATAGAACAGAAAGCTTTTGTATCTTTGGGACAAAAGAAACAAAATGGGTAAAATAGAAAATATGTAAAAATTAATTTCACCCCTCAATACACTATTTAACCAAGCAATTTCACTCTCGTATAGAAGCAGAAACCAGGCTCAATTCATATACTCCGCGTCATGAGATTCTTATGAAACTGTGTTGGCAATGCAGTCTACCATTCTTGATGTATGCACAGAAAGTTTAAATAATGCTTTTCTTTCCTTTAACTCGAGAATTGTTACTTTTTTCTTTTACTGTTCCACTTGGAGGTTTTGATGGATCTCGTGAATCGCCTGCAGCATGCTTCCTTCGCCTTGGATTGCCCACACTAGCAGAGTCGACCAACGGACCTGACCAAGTTTGGATTGGTTCTTTTGAGTAATTGAGCGAGGTGGTGCTGAATGGAACATCTGGAGGAACAAAGGAAATGTCCATATGACGTGATGATCCCAAGGGAAAGCCAAGTGCTCCGTCCTGATGTGGTGGAGGAAACTTCTCACTCTTGCTCTTTGCATTTGCATGCGTGATCATGCGCCTCCTCTGTTTCAGAAAAAAATACTGGCAAATTAACATATGTGAAAACTTTTGAGGTAGAGATCCGTAATACAATGAAACATGCAACTGGTAAGGAAGAAAACTCCAATCACTCTTAAAGTCGGAAGCCATTAAGAGTGGCAAAGAATGAAGACTAAGCCGCTTTATCAAATGCATGAAAGAATCCAACAAGTTTTTTAAGCTCATTTGAAGTTAACAATCTTTTACCTTTACCAGAAAGCAACAAAAGTTCAAATTTCAATGCCATGATTCTCTGAGTCATTCAGCATTGGCAGCACAAACTGCCGAATATTTTAGCTACTGAAAAGATTACATTCAGCAAGCTTTATGCTTCTCAACAAATAAGATTCACCATTTACCACCCTATCTAATGTAGTAACAACCAGACATCAGCTGAGAAAGACAAGTGGAAGAAAACACAACTGGAACTAGGTTATGATCCAGGACAGGACAGCACACAGCATTTCAAGAAGATACAGTTTCCAGTAACTTTCTGACCAACAACAAGACCTAAACATAGAAGATATTGATTTCTGATAGAAACAACCAACAGGACATACATCAAGATTAGACTGAAGTTCTGCATTAGCCTCTGGAGCAGGGATTGCCCGAACAGCACGATCACGTGTTCTTGTCTTCTTTGCACCATCAACTTGGGCTTTACTGGCAGCTCTTAGTCTGCAAAAGCATAGGAAAGGAACATGTTGATTAAAACTCACACGTGAGAGATAGCTAGCTTGCTGATATTGAGTGTGTCAGTAGAAGCAAGTATAAAATATACAGGGGATATATAGCAATGGTAACACGTCAATGATCAAATCAATCTGTCAAAGAGAATTTCCAAGAACAGAACCTTAATGCACTCCATTGTCTGAAACAAAGATATTGACAAATTGATTGGAGAAGTATGCTAAAATGCCTTTAGAAACTAAGTATAATGCAGAAAATTTGAAGCCAATGCAGTTGCCATAATCAAATGAGTGAAAAACAGCAGCTTAACCTCCAATAGCGCTAATGCACTCCAAATTAAAATTTTCATTGTAAATCTGTTATCAAGGGTTTGGATGATCTAACAAGTTCAAATCACTACACTTTAATCACTATGCACAAATTTCCAGAATAAGACCTTCAAGAAAAAATCAGGCATCAAAGGTAAAGTCAATATTACCTCCTAGCTTCATCATCTCGTCGTTTAGCATCCATCTCCTTACTTGGGGGATATTTAGGGAGACTAGAAGGTTCACAAGCAAAAGGTTCCGTGGTGAAGAACTGCACAAGGGTGACAAAAGTGATCATGGAAAAGTGAACATTTGAAGGCACACTTTTAAAAAGATTTCTTATGAAATGCAAATGCAAACAAGCAGTACACCAGATTATGTGTGTGCCTCATCTCCCCATAATATTTCAAAGATTTTGATAGAATACTGGCATTTTCAATCATATTTGTCAAGTTTCTATATTTGATACAGAAACCTCTGTTTCATGTCAAGCTCGAACTGGAACAAACTAGAACTATTTCTCTCAATTTAATACAGACAAAATAGAGTCAATGAGTGCTAAAACTGCACTGTTACACCTGGAAGGACTCTATGAGTCAGTATGGCTTCTACTCTTACAGGAAAATTAAGTCAGTGACTAGTTTATAATGATCTTTTTTTTATATATATTGGGAAAGTATTCATTGTTTAATAGGATCCCCCTTAACTCCCACCACTGTTCTCTTTTAACAGACGATGAAAGCATTACAGGATCAAATGCCAGATATCCTTAAGTAGACTTGCATGATGCCTTCTCTTGCTCACTTATTACAAATTTCTCATTGCATTCAAGCAGGAGACTCTGTGCATTCACACTGAAATCAATTTTCAGTTGGAAGTGCTTAATTTCAGGTATGATTTTGGGAAGTTCACAAATGCCTACCATACACCTATCATATGTGGAGAACCAATTCAAGTAACATTCAGGCTTATTAAATTCATAGTATAAAAAACTATATGATTCAGTAATGAGTGAAAAAAATTTAAACCAAGAAGCAGAAAAACTGAAGACGGACAATCACAGAATATAAAAACACTTACTTCGCTTCTTAATGCAGCTGTGGCTGTCTGACGTTCCAATGGGTCAATTGCAAGAAGTGTTTCAATCAGAGGCAGTGAGGATGGAGGAAAATCTTTAAATGTCTCTCGTATGCTTCTTTTTTAGGGCTCTCGTGGCTTAAATAAGGTTGCATTTGGCAACTTAGACTTTTTCCAGTAATCATCTGATGGTGAACCACATAGCTTATATATTTTATGTAGCTGCTCTACCTACGCAGCATTTAAGATACTGTAAATAGCAGTGAAAATGGCAAATGTGCTCCCCACAATAAACTTTAACATATTACACATCCAGTAGACTACAGCATAACAAAATCTATTGCAGCTAATAGTTTTCATACAAGCATAATGCTTGCTCCTTGCCTATGTCATTGCCTCATTATAATATCCCTTCAAGTTCTTGGAAATTAAAAATTGTAAGGAGATAGCACTCAAAATATATGCCAAAGGATTTAGACATGAACATTGAACAACATAATACAACTGAAGCAAAGAGTAGATTAAAGCCAAAACTGTAAGTATAGTTACCTCAGTACGACCCGGCATAATGGGCTTCCCAGCCAATAGCTCAGCCAAAATGCAACCAGCACTCCAGAGATCCACACCCACACCATAGTCAGTGGCCCCAAGAAGCAGCTCAGGAGGCCGATACCATAGAGTAACCACTCGACTAGTCATGGGATGCTTATGGTGTGGATCAAAAAAAGATGCCAAACCAAAATCAGCAATTTTAAGTACTCCACCATCATCAATTAGAAGATTTGACCCTTTAATATCCCGATGAAGCACACCGTTGTTGTGACAGTGCTCAAGTCCAGATAGCAGTTGATGCATGTAACATTTAACCTACAATTAAATAAACTTTACATGTCAAATAAAGCGGTGCGGTTCTTTGTACTAGATAACCCACCAAGGAAATGTATGAGGAGATGCATTTTAATTTAAGATTTGACACAAGCTATGGCAAACCTGTGGCTCTGTAAACTTTACTTCTGGGCTCGCTGCAAGTCCAGCCAAATCGTGCTCCATATACTGAAATACCAGGTACAAACTACATGACATCCTTGAAGTCACTAAACCTTCCAACTTTACAACATTTGGATGATCCAATCTCCTCAATATGAGAATCTCTCTAGCCATAAACTTCACACTCTCAGGTTCCAAATTGTCAAAGCGAACTTTCTTTAGTGCAACAATTTTACCCGTTAAAATATCTTTAGCTTTGTACACATTGCTATACGTTCCTTGCCCAATCTACCATCAGGAAGGAGAAATCAACATTTGAAGACACATAAACATTAATAAATCAATAAATTAAAGAAAGGATTGAGAGCCATGTTGTATCATCATAAAACCCCCATCTCAAATGATGTAACCGATCAAATTCTTCAACTAAAAGAAAATTGACCATCATAAAAACATTATCTTTGAAAAAATATCATTGTTACATCATTTGTGATAGAAATTAAAGATGGGAACTTTGCAAAGTATCCATCTCACTTAACATGGCTCGTAAATTTATTCTTTAAACTCAAAACAAATTGACAATTACTCTACTTCCAAAGGACCAAATGACCAACCTTATCGATTTTCTCAAATGAGTCTGCCCTACGTGGAATCCACCCATTTAGTGCCTCTCCACAAACCGCAGTAAGCCATGATGGCCAGCCAGCAGCCACCTGCTCACCTCGCAAATGCTTAGGTGGATTACTCAACCTTGGATTTGGCTTTGACCTTCTCCTCTCCCCCCTTGGTTTTTTGTCCCCATCAACCACTTTCTTCTCCTCCTTCTTCTGGTTGGCCTCATCATTTTGAACCTCTACAACCTCACTATTAATCTTTTTGGCAGCAACAGCACCTTCTTTCCCATTATTATTAGATTCAACATTCAAATTTTGAACCTCCTTAGATTCAGATACGATGCCTGAGGATACCTCTCTCCCCAAAACACACCCCATTTCTGAATCTAATCAAAAACATCATTTCTCACCATGTTCTATGTGGGTTCATCTCTAATCAGCGAGAAATCACTACAAATCAAACAAATTCAAACTATAAGTAACGATACTACACAAAATAAAAATAAAAATAAAAATACACCGAGTCTTTTCACTACGTGATCTTCAAAAAAAAAAAAAAAAAAAAGAAATACTAACAGCTCAGGATAATCAAAACTCACAAAAAAACCAAGATAAATCAATGAAACATACAAATCATAAACCCTATAACGACACACCTGAAGAACCCAGTTGTATCTTGAAAGTCAAAATGATCTTAAAGGCAAAACAAATATAATAATAAAGAACCACAAAAGAATACACTTGTTGAAAGCTAGATATACCAAGAGAGAGAAAAAGTGAAAAGAAGGTGATTGAAAAACAAGTGAAAGAGAGAGAGAGTTTGATTTGATGAATGAATCTGAGAGTTAAAGCTAAGAAAACAGGTTAAAGTGTTTGTTTAGGAAGTGAATATGTTGGTGTTTGAGATAAGAAAATGGAACAAAAATGAAGAGTTGAGAGCAGATCGGTTGCTGTTTTGTTAATGTTACTAAGAACTCTACTTTTCATTGGTCAAACACCTATTTCTTTCTCTCTCCTTCAGCTCAGCTCACCTCTTCAGCCCGCGGGGATTTTACTTCCTCAATTTACGCTCACTTTTTCTTATTTTCACTCTTTAATTTTTCTAGTTTCCAAGTAAAGTTACATACCAAGCTGTATTCGTATTTTGTAAATGAGATGTCCATTCAGTTACCATATATTTATTTATATTAACAAAAATTAAAGTTTAACAACGTTTTTTATTAGTTAAATATGAAGCAATGTTAAGTTTTGATCTAATACTTAACTGTTTTAGTATTATTATAATTCTTGAGTGTAAAAACCGTCAACTGTTTACTCAAAAGTTTTTTCTAACCCTTGTACGGTGAAAAAATGTTTTTGCACCTAACCTCAAATTTGAAAATTAATTAACTCATAAAAAAATATTTTAGAAATACTAAATGTGGGATTTAACTTGAAAAAATGAAAATGATATTTCATTTGAATTAATTATTTGGAAGAGTTTAATAGTGGTGTGAATGAGACATTTGCAAATGAAATGAAGTTAATTGATTAAATCCATTCTTAAAGAAACATAAAAATTAACAGTTATGGAACAACATGTTTACTAAATTTTGTTTTTATATACACTTTGATCTGTATTACCAAACTAAACTTTGTTAAAAAAAAAATAGGAAATAGTTTAATAATAATAAAATATAGGATTAAAGAATTGAAACTACCAAATGATGAGCTATTGGTTCTTTTGTTTGTAAATTATGTCTCTACACTTTAAGCCAATCAAAGTATTCACTCAATAAACTGGGTTTTTTTTTTTCTTTTTCTTTTTTTTACAAGGTATATGAGATAATCAAGTCCACATTGAAACCTGTTTATCTTCAAGATCGTAGAATAATCTACAAATCCAATGAATCAAGATAATTACACAAATATATAAATACCTCTCTTACCTGAATATAACTAACCTAGTGGCTAAAGGGTTTACCCGTCAGACTAGGAGGAAGAGGTAATAACAAGTGATTTTACTCTAGTGAAAACAGATTAGGCACTTCCACTCAAATAAAAAGTGCTTTACTCTAGTGAAAACAAATTCTCCTAAAATTAGTATTTAACATTTTATCGTTTTAGGAAACAAAACTTAGTTTTTTTTTATAACTACGTTTGCTCTTACAAAACCAGATGCCTAAACCATCACAAGAGATAAAATAGCTTTTCTTGATGAAACATTCAACAACAATAATATCCTCCACTCCAGTACTTCTTTCAACAAACAGATCATCTTCAATAACTATGAACAGTATAGCTTGAATATGTCTACAAAGATATATAGATATAGATAATATATATTTTTATTACTAGGTATCGTTGCCATAGTATCCGAAAATATAAATAATTCATATCTTAAAAGAAACAAATAAATAACATGAATCTTAGGATCTATACTCTGCTTATAAATGAAGATTATCAAGTTTTGAAGCTGCTGTTGATACATCTTGTATGGTATCTTTCTTTTCTCTATTGGGTACTGTTGCTTCTTGGACGGAACTTGGCATTTGTCTTTGTGGTGGAGCTGAACAAACTGGTACAACGGTTCGTATTCTTACAGCTGGTGCCATAAAACTGGGATGAACTTGTCTAAGGTTTATTCTTTCAGTGCTGGGTATGGTCGAGCATGAAGAAACTCCGGTTCTCATTCTTGGTGGAGCAGGCATCCGGCTTGCCAAATTTTGTGGAAGGGGCCTCGCTGAAGATATAGGACCCACCGTTCTCATTGCAGTAGTAGCTGCAGCAGATGAAGGTGGTCTGGAACTTCTATGAGAACTTGCTCTTGGGTGATAATGGGTTCTTGGATATGAATGAACTCGTGGATTTTGTAAATGCAGATTGTCAAACCTAAAACCAGAATCCAAGTTCCTATGAGAAGACAATTCAGATTGCCCAGATTGGCTTCCTTCATATTTAACATTTTCAAATTTCCCCTCAAGCTCCACACTAATTTTGCTTTCCAAATCAACAATCTTCTTATTACCATCCTCTTGAGTTGATTGCTCCATTCTAGGTTCAGCATTGGTGCGAACAGAGACAGGGGCATCTGGAACTACAGATGGTGTGAATTTGGAGGATTCTTCTGTTTTCTCCTCCTGTATTTCTTGAATAGTTACCGTGGATCTGTTCCTGATTGGCTCAGGAACTGGCTTACTTGAGAAGCACAGCGATGGACTGGAGGTCGCAACTGTGAGCCTTGGTCCTTCTACAGGTAATGGTTCTTGTTTTCTTGTTGGAATACATAAAGCGTGGTTTGGGCGGAAAATAGACTGCATATAGGGAAGAATCTGAGGACCAAGTGGTGGAGTTGGTGAAACTGGAAGAGCTAACAGGTGGTTTTGAAGCTGTAGCAATTGTTCTTGCTGCCATATCTGACACAAGGTCAGTTCCGGGGAAAAACTAGGGTAGGCCCAACTTTGGCATTGTTGAGGATATAAGCTTGAAGTTGGTGGGGTTAGGCCTCTGCACATAGGAATGAACCTCTGATGTCCATATTGGCAGTCATTTTGCAAGAAGTGCTTCGACTCTGATTGTTGCAAAGAAGAAAGAAAGCGAGCAATGACAACTTGTTCCTGTTCTTCATTGCATTTGGATTCTAACAAGGAAGAAGAAGATGAAGTAGATACAGTTGAGCCACGTTGAGACACTGCAAGAACAGTGAAGAAACATATTAGAATAATTCTGTAAACTAAAATTAAGCAATAAGCAAGAAACACGCTGATTTTGTATAAATCACGATCTGAAATCAAAGAAAATCAGAGGCGGTGACCCGATTATGATCCGGGTACTATTTTAAAAGGCATCAAACAACCCATGCAATTTATATTACATGATGTAATATTATCCTAAGCTATCAAATTGGAAGTCATGCTTTCCCTGTTCCAAAGCAACTAAAGTACTGTGATCATAAAGCTAATGGAGAAAGATGAGATGCATACATCTTTTCAAGGTAGACCAAGCAGCCATAGCAGCATTTTTTTGAGCCTGTTTCTTTGTCCTAGCTGGTTCCCCTGTAAAGCTCATCCCTGCAAGCTCAACTGTGCATGAGAAAACAGGAACATGGCCTGGCCCTGATCGAACAGTGGTATACACTGGAAGATTTAAGCCAGCTTTGTGTGCAGTCTCTTGCAGCAAATTCTTGTAGACTCCAGTTTCATCCTGAGCAGCAAAAAAGTGTCAAAAACACAACCAAATTAAGAGTAAGAGATGGAGACACATGTAAACTTTCCAGATAAGGTAATGAAATTCTAAGAAACAACAATAGAATATATTATGAACGCACCAGAACTCTTGCAGCTAATGCTCTGGAAGGACCTCTATTTGCAAGTGTGCTTAGAGCTACCTCAGCTGCAGCATGTTCAGCCTGTCTCAGAGTAGAGCAAAATGTAGGGCTTTCAAAAGTCTCTCCATTGAAGTTGACAGTTGCTTTGAATCGAGGGGCATGATCTGGTCCTTCTCGGATACATGAATAAGCTGGTAGGTTAAAGCAGCTTCTCTGAGCCAACTCCTGCAATTGGTTTTTATACATACCTATACATACGAAACAAATGTATGTTAGAAACAAAAACATTTTGAGTTTAACAGGGACAGAGGCAAAGGAATAGTCTATCAGCTCAAAAAATTATATTCCACAAGCATCAATTAGCTTATTGACAAAGTCTTTTCCTAATCTGGATCAAACAGCCAGTTCACCAAAATAAAAAAAGGATTACTCACATTGAATACCCTAACCTTCAAGGAAGAAAAATTGAGTAAATTTTTCTTAACTCCGATTTCAAGTGTAGTATCCACAAATGAAAGGAAAAAAAACAATAAAGTAAAAGGAACATTGTCAAAAACCACCCTCATTTCCATTCACAAAATTTTCAGACATATTTTTAGGAATGCAAGTAACCAGCCCTTAAATTCTCCAGTTTGCTTCTCATAAATCAAAGTGGGTAACATTAAAGACCAGCTGAAGTTTATGCCTAAAAAAAGTATCAAATCAAAATAGTTCCTAAAAGTTCACGCAACAGAGTTATCAAGAAGCTACCAAAAATAAAACAAAATACCATTTTTGATCCACAATAAATAAAGATTCTCGCTAATCTCTTCCCTTTTCCTACATTTTCTCAGCAACCAAACATACGCAAGATTTAACAAACCAACAATATCCAAAAACCCACCTCGATCACACCCTTCACAAACCCAGAACACAACAAAGCTATCATCATTTCACTTCAATACCAGTCATGGCAATAGATTAACTCAAAATCCATCAACAAACAAAGGAAAAAAATTAACCCGGAAACAAAAAAGCATTAAACGATCTGGGAGTGAACCCAGAAAAGAAAAACAAAACAGTAACTGACCTACTGAGCACACGGGGCTGTCTGATTTCGCAAAGCCGCAAGATTTTACCGAGAAAGGGACGGAAAAGTAGCGAGAAAGTGAGGTAGAACCAGTGTATAGCAAGAGAAGTAAAGTGGGATTTTCATTTTTTTTGACGCCAGTTGAGTGAGTGCTGACAAGATACGAAATTTACGATGAAAAAAACAGCTGAGTAGTGTTTAATGTGTGTTATGTGGTACATTTTTCTTCTCATTTTTCACACGTTTGTGCGTTTGTCTATTGGGTAGTTGTTAAGGAGTGTTTGGTTGGGCCATTTTTTCTTGCTTTTAAATGCTTTTTTTTTAATGCAATATTTCACAATCTTTTTCTAGTCAAAGATGAAAGTGTTCTTTGGATGAGAGACTATAATGCCACCTAGTCTGAAGAGTTTGAGTCGGGTTGTTTATAGGAGTGGTCATTGAAGTTTTTATCCCGCTGATAGTTTTAACCTCCAAAATTAGAGTTCTTATCCGATCGATAGTTTCAGTCTTCAAAGTCTTGAAGAATTAGCTGAGATACGCGTAAATTGATTTAATTCGAACACCTTTGGTCAGTAGTAAAAAAAAAAAAAAAAAAAAGACTATAATGCCAACTAGGATTGGTGGATATGATAAAATAATGTTTTATATTATATTGTAGTTTATAATTGTAGTGTAGCATGTAAAATTCTAACCATGACTTAAAGGTTTGCTTTTTACTTAATTGTACTCATCCATTAACATGTTTTCATTGTTTTTATAGTTTAATTTATGCATCAAATTTTTATATGTTCTTGCGTGAAAGAATTGAGAATTAGTCAATACTTATCTAAGAAAAGGTAATAGTTTTTTTTTTTTTTTTTTTTTTGACTACAGGTGTTCAAGCTGGTTTACGCGTATCTCAACCAATTCTTCAGGATCCTGAAACTATTGATTGAATAAAAACTCTAATAGCTATCTTTATTAGATAATGTCATTAGTTTTTCAATTTAAATCTAAATATGACTTAATTTAAATCATTTATATGTATTATTATAGTGTATATTGTGAATCAAAGTAGATAAATGATATAAAAGGACGTATATAAAGTTAATTGAGTTAGGTCGATATGCTGAATTAAACACAAATATTGAGTTATATAAAATCTATATTATGTTCAATGAATCCACTCATTAATGTTAGGTCAAGGTTTAATAAATGATGATTTTATGATATATTTCTTAATTTAGTATGCATGACATTTTAATCAAACAGCTTCATTTAAGAGACTTTTTTTTTTTCCATACTTTTAAAACTTAAAAAAGAATAAGGTTTTACCTAAGCAAAAAGATCAATGCTAGTGATGCAAATAATAAATGCCACAGTAATTGCTAGTTAGTTCCTAGTTGGGCGTTCAGATTTATGTCATGAAAATGAATACTCTAAGTCCAATCTGGTTGAGCAACTCCACCTCTGAGTCTCTGACCAACATGAATAATTTATCTTTTAAGTTCTGTCAATGTTGACCAAAACACCAGAAAATTATGTTTCAGCAACCTAACATTTGATTTCTTGAGGGTTATGTGGCTTGAAAAAAAATGACTTCTCTTCACCAATAATCATTACAAGAGCAGTTTCCATCAACAAAATGGTGGAAACGATTAGCATCTCTTACAATAATTTCTCTTTGAACTAACTTTGATATATATTTGGTCACATTGTGACAGTCTCCACATACACGAAGGTTCTTTGTGATCCTAATCAAGCTTCCAACTGGTGTGCTTAAGAGTCCAAATGCAATGGCTAATCTCTCACTATGCATCCATAGTAACTTAATCGTCATTGGCTTGTCCACATTGCGGAGAACACAGCTAGTGTCAGGCACATAGCCTAATGCCTCTACTTGTAATCTCAAATTCTCCAAGAACTTGTGAATTTCTGCCCATTTTGGATGTGAATCATCTCCTGCAAAAAAAGAGTGGACTTGGTTTTCTACTTCAATCAAACTATATCCTGGTGTTTTTCTAATTCCTCGATTCATCATTAAGGCCCGGATGTAGTTTACTGCATCCCACCTTTTTGCCTCGGCATATATGTTTGATAACATAATGTAAGTGCCAGGATTCATTGCATCCAAGTAGAGTAGTTTATCCGCAGTTTTCATTCCCATATTGATGTTTTTGTGAGTTCGACATCCACTCAAAAATGCTTCAAAAACAGCACTGCTAGGGGTAAAAGGCATTTGGTTGATCAATGCCTCAGCCTCTTCAAGACGTCCTGCTCGACTAAGAAGATCCACAAGGCAAGCATAATGCTTATCCGTAGACCTAATTTTATGGTCTCTTTCCATGCTGTAAAACAATGCCATCCCTTCTTTCACAAGCCCTGAGTGACTACATGCAGTCAGAAGGGAAATAAAGGTGGTTTCATTTGGCCTGACTCCCTCTTCTATCATTATTCCATAAAGGCTGAGAGCTTGATGTCCATGACCATGCATGCCATAACCTGTTATCATGGAGTTACATAAAATAACATCTAAAGGTACAAATCCATTGTTAAATACCCGCTCAGCAGAGTTTATCTTTCCACATTTGGCATACATATCAATCAAGGCTGTCATGTTAACTGCATCAAAAGCAAAGCCTTGCCGCATTAATTGTGCGTGGACACTTTTTCCTTTCTTCAAAGAGCCCAAGTGAGCAGAAGATTGTACTAAACTAACAAGAGTGACTAGATTAGCAGCAACTCCCTCTTCTTGCATCTGACTAAATAATTTCAGGGCATCCTCTGCATGTCCATTCTGTGCTAACCCTACAAGCATAGCAGTCCAGGTAATTACATTCCTCTCTTTCATTCCGTGAAAGACAAATTTCGCCTGCTTTAAGGCACCACATTTTGAATACAAATCCACCATTGAAGTGCACAAAATGGGGTTCAACTCAAGGCCTCTTCTGAAACTACAACCATGAAGAATTTTCCCACTTTCCAAATCAGCTATTTGAGCACAGCCATGAAGGAGGCTGACTATGGTTCCCGAATCAAAACCACCTCCACTTTCTACTAATCTACAAAATAACTTAAAAGATTCATGCACTGAACTATTTTGAACATATCCTGAGATAATTGCATTCCATGAAACCAAACTTTTTGTAGGCATGCCATCAAAAATAGAACGAGCATGTATAATTTCACCCATCTTACTATACATATCAACCAAAGAGGTTAACACCAAAACATCATCACCCATTCCTAATCCAAGTACACAACCATGTACACATTTTCCAAACTCAATATTTCTCATACGTCCACATGCTTGAATCAAACTAACCATAGTAACAGGGCTAGGTGTAATTCTACATTTGCGCATACTAAAAAACATACCTAAGGCCTTGTCATATTGACATGCCTTCACATACCCACCAATCATTGAATTCCAACAAACAACATCCTTCTCAAGCATTCCATTAAAAACCCTTCTGGCTTCATCAATATCACCAAATTTCACCAAGAAATTAATCATTGAACTCCCTAGAAACCGATCATCATTTATTCCTTTATCAAAAGCTAACCTAATTATCTCCCTACCCATCTCATAATCTCCCAATCCCGTGCATGCTTTAAGCACAAAATTACAGGTGTAACTATCAATATCCAAATCAAAACAACACATTGATCGAAACAGATCAAGGGTATCCTTGTATTTCTCATTTTGCACATACCCATTAACCATGGCATTACAAAGAATAATTGTTGGTTGAGGAATTTCATCAAACACGTAACGAGCATAACTTAAAAGGCCGAACTGTGTGTACAGCTTTACAAGTTTAGTCACCAAAAAGTGGTCAGTGGATACGGCATTAGTGATGATTTGGGCATGGATAGACTTGACCCAGTTAAGGGTTTTTGAAGATTGTTGCAAGAGTGATGAGAATTTGTGAATAATTGATGATGCTTGGTTAAAATGGACATCTTGGAATGTAGCAGTAGTGTAAGTTAATGAGAAAATAAGCTTCAAGGGGAGCTTGGCAATATAATGATTTATATGCAGATATAGTGAAGAAGACATAAAAGAAGATTAAAAGGGTTTTGGCTTAAAGAGTTAAAGCCACTGGTTACGGGTAGCAATTTAACAAATAGATTTTACTACCATGCTCACATTTCTGAAAAGCTGAAAACTTGTATATGTGTAGCTCTAGCTTCTTTGCTATGTGTCTTGAAGACTTTTGATTCGCAATATAAAAATCGTTTTAAGAGTTATATAAAATGAATCTTTTACTGACGGTTATTTAAAAAAGAACAAAAATGACATAGTTGATGCTCTCAAATGAAAGAGTCACAAATTTCTTTTACTTCTCATTACATGTCTCAGGAACGAAGGACACAGTAGATTTTTTAACATCAAACAAGAAACGATTATTGGCTTGCTGAAATGCCCCCAGGAGGTTTGGTCCTAATTGTTCAGTAGGTTGGAAAATCAAACACAAGAGACCGTCAATGGATTCAAAGACAGAATTAGAACCCACAGCAAGATCACCTCCTTGGAAATGGATTGTCATTGATGGGATCTTAACATCAATATTGCCAGCTGAAGAAGCAGCTTTAAAGCAAAGGTCATAAGGTGTTTCCTTTCCTTCTATAGGATGCCAAGCATATCTGAAAAAATTCCTGATCATCTGGGTTCTCAAAACGCTATATGCATCAGGAACGAGAAGAGTTGGCCCCACTCCTGAATCAATGGCAAATCCACCCGAACCATCATTTTTCAGCTTAAACAATCCTGGATTAATGTCAAGTCTCTTCTCATCAACACTAATTCCTGTCACATTCACATAATATCTTGACATATTAGGCATGAGGCTTATTGTTTGTACTTTTCGTTTATCGTCTCCGGTAATCTGTGCATCAGGGCCAAATCTCAGGAAAGTGCTGCTTCCATTAGGAAAAGTCCATGAAGGCAGGCAATAAGAGAATCGAAGGTCGGTTACAGTCTCTAGTTGCTTCAGGATTGATCGTTGCCCTGCCCCTAGACCAAACACGCCTGATATCACATTTTCGCTTCCTATGTATCCACCAAAAATTATGTTCTGACTTTCATATGCACAACCAAATGCTAGAGTTGGAAATGTTATGCCTGTGCTGTTACCTCCGTTGAAAGTGAAACTGTCTGTTCCGAGCACCCCCTTAAGTAAACCACCATCCCTGTACATCCAGTTATATGAGCATAAGTTTCTGAAACAAGATTTGTCGAAACAAAGAGGGTCATTACAACTCGACGCATGATAACTTTTGGACTGTTGGGCGGAAAAGCTTCCTCCCTTCACTGGAAAGCAACTTTTGCATCCTTCACACTGAAGCCATGTATCATAAACACCAGTGTCCACAACCAAGTAAGGTGAGAACTTTGATGAACCGATGGACATCTTTGTTAAGTAAAGAATAGCAAGAGGAGAAGAAGAAATTGGAGGTTTTAATGTTTCAGGCTCACGGTTGAGTGTGTTTTGGGAGGACTTGGCAACAGATGCGGATGCCAGATGAAATGTTCGAGCTCGAGAGAGATCTACAATTCTCTGATGTATCTCTTCTATGGTAAGATTCTTTGGGAACAAAACTGAATCAACTGAGGTTCTTGGAACGAGCTCAATTCTAAGGCCATAGATTGTTTTAATGGACATGGAAAGAAAGTAAATGAAAAGGGCCACTGCAGCCACATATAATTTATCAAAGGTTTTCATCATATCCATTGTAACCATCTTTATGAAAAGATATATTATTGTTTATATACATAGAGAGAGAGAGAGAGAGAGAGAGAGAGATGAAGTACAAACCCATTTCATTTATGGTGGTGCAGTAATTCATTGTGAATGTTCTTTATTAAGAAGAAAATCCAGAAAGTCTTTCTGACTTGGTAAGTATGAAATGTTTGAGCCATTACAGCTACCTATACCAAAAATAGATAATAATAAAGCGACTTCCACCTGAATTTAGTTAATGTAGTATTGCATTAATTATATACCAATGTTTAATTGAAGAATTGTATGTTTTCAATTCATTGATTTATCACTAAGGAGTTACACCCTTTATATAGGGAGTATACGATCTCTTAAGTCCCCTAATTATGTCAATTGTGGATTACACAATATTTTGTCTGACATAATTAGGAGATTATATAATCTCTAGAATATTCTGAGATCGTATACCTGACATAACTAAAAGATTACATAATATTTACCTGATTACAAAAGATTTACACAATATTATGAAAATCTTAACACTATCCCTCAAGTTGGTGCGTAGATGTCACACATGCCCAACTTGTCTAACACTTGTGAGAAAATACGTTTGGAGACAACATTGGTAAGAATATCGGCCAATTGATCATCTGATCGAATCTTGGGTAGTTCAATAATCTTTTCATCCAGTTTTTCTTTGATGAAAAATCTATTTACTTCAACGTGCTTCGTACGATCATGTTGAACTGGATTGTGAGCAATGTCACATGCTGCTTTATTGTCACAATATAACTGGATTGGTTGATTAGGTTGATAAACCAAATCTTGTAGTAGAAATCTTAGCCACAAAGCTTCACAAATCCCAAGGGCCATTCCCCTAAATTCTGCTTCACCGCTCGAGCATGCCACAACATTCTGTTTCTTGCTTCTCCACGTGACTAGATTACCTCCTACAAAAGTGAAATAACCAGAAGTAGATCACTTGTCATCGACTGCTCCAGCCCAATCAACATTAGTATATGCATGCACATTTTGGTAGTTCTTATTTTTAGAAAATAAGATTCCCTTTCCAGGAGCATGTTTTAAATATCTCAGGCTACGCATAACTGCGTTCATATGCTGCTCTGTAGGATTATGCATGAATTGGCTGACTATACTCAATGCATAAGCAAGATCTGGCCTAGTGTGAGACAAATACATCAATCTTCCCATAAGTCTCTGGTATCTCCCTTTGTCAATTGGTACTTAATCAGTCTCGACTCCTAATTTCAAGCCTTCTTTGATTGGTGTATCAGTTGGTTGACATGCTGACATACCCATTTCCAGCAGCACATCTAAGGCATACTTTCTTTGTGATAGAAAGATACCTCTGTTAGATCGAGACACTTCAATTCCGAGAACATATTTCAAAGAACCTAGGTCCTTCACCTTAAATTCTTCTGATAAGTACTTTTGTAGTGCCGTCCTTTCTTCTGGATCATTTCCTGTAACCACCATATCATCTACATATGTAATAAGTGCAGTGATATTTCCTTGCTGTTTTTTAAGGAATAGTGTGTGATCTGAATTGCTCTGATGGTAGCCAAAAAACTTTATAGCTTTGGTGAACCTCCCAAACCATGTCCTTGGAGATTGTTTTAACCCATATAATGACTTCTTTAACTTATATATCTTTTGGCTATGTTTCCCTGGTAAAATACACCCTGGTGGAGGATCTATATAGATTTCTTCAGACAATTCTTCATGTAAGAAAGCAATCTTCACATCGAACTGCTGTAATGGCCAATCTAGGTTTGCAGCTAAAGATAATAAGACATGTACCGTGTTGATTTTAGCTACGGGTGCAAATGTCTCTATATAGTCAATCCCATGGGTTTGGGTGTACCTTTTTGCTACTAGTAGGTAGCGTGCCGAATGCTCCAAATTAATAACCTTACTAACCTAACTACTAAATTGCATATAGGGTGAGCAAGGGTCAATCCCACAGGGAATGCTTCACTTAAATCCTATATTCTGACCAATAACCACAACGAAAACAACAGAAAAATAAAATAAAATAAAATAAAATCCTAAACAGTAAACATGACAACAGAATAATGAAAGGGGTTGTAGACAATGCAATCTAAAGTGAAACGAATAAATCTCCAATGGTAGAAAATATCATATTAAAAACAACCAGTTCTTGGTTCAAGATTCACCTAAACATGCATTGGACATGAACTAAGCGTAATATTATTCTATCTCGTTATTATGGAATTATTGACCCTAGGAAACAACAAGCTCTGTTACCTGAATTTTCCCTTAATTGTCACTATTGAAATAAGCTCTTCAATTAGATCCTAACCCTTGAACAACCTAGAATAAGCTCTCTAAGTTTAATTCAATGGCAGCCTTAAGAATTAGGAAAATAGATCAATCCAAGCAACAATCACGCAAGATCGGATTATTAAACTTTAGGTTTTGTTATTCAAGGTGACAGATTGAGAACTTGTCCATAATCATCTATCATAATGTGTTACTCATTGAATAGAAAGATGACAATTACATATCACAATTCCTAATTCTAACAGATAAAATTCCGATTAAACAATTTAGCAGGCCATTACTAAATCATCCAAACAAAAATCATAAACAATTAAAACAGAATAACATAAACAATTCCAATAAGAACGATATTAAGAACAATGTTACTGAAGTTAAGTTACACCAATGACATGAATTCAGGCTTCAAAATCCCCTTGAACTGAAGAAGAAAGATCAGCCGCCCATATTGACGTAGAAAGTAAAAAACAAAAAAAAAACATCCACTGCCGTTCTCTCCCCCCGTTTAACCTAACAACTCATAAATAAATAACTTGTTTTTCCTCAATTCTTCCCCAAGAAAAACGAAAATTACTTTCCTAGACCTTTCCTAAATGATAGACTTCCAAACCTAGCAATTCCTTATCAGATATGGAAAATAGAATTCGTAATCCAGATTGCACCAGGATTCTCACAATGTAAAATAATTTTTTGGGCTTAGTCACTTCATAAAAGTTGTAGTCCTGGATGTGTAGATGAATTTGGGCTTTTGAATCACTTGCTTTTGATATCTGAAGCTCCAGTTAGGCCCATTCGAAGACTCAATACTCAACCAAGAAATCCTTCCGCGAATAGGATTCCAGGTCCGGTTTTGTAACAACTATTGAGGGCCCAAACGAACTCGGATTCTCACCCATAATACCTTCCTGGAAGGCTTGATTCGTCTACTTTACTTTTTCTGAAGAAACTTTTGCAATCGAGAAATCTGACTCCATGAAAAACCTAAAAAACTCAGCACTGGTCATAATAACAAAAAATCTGGAATTTCCTAATCTTTTCTCAATTATTTCATAAAGTCTATCCAAATATGCCAAACTTACAAAATAAACTCTAATCAACTCAACTAGGCATAAAATATAATAAAAAACATACTATGGAAGGAATAGAAAAATATATAAATTACACTCTTATCACTAGTCTTGCTTTGAATCTCTCAATTGTACCATTAGCTTTATACTTCAAAGTGTAAACCCATTGACATCCTTTAGTCTTCTTTCCGGGTGGACGATCAACAAGTTCCCAAGTCTCATTCTTTTGTAATGATTTCATTTCCTCATTCATAGCAGCTTTCCTTTTTGGATTAGATAAGGCTTCCTACACACTGTTAGGAATAGATACAGTAGATAATTGATTCACAAATGACATATTCGATTCTGATAGATGATGGTTAGACACATAATGACTCATGGGGTATTTGACTTTACTAGATAGCTCTGCTTCGTATGTTTGTTTGGGAATACCTCTAGTACTACATGGTGGTAACTGTTTCCTAATTGGGTCAGATCAAAATCAGGAACATTCTCAACAAATGATGGTTGTGACATACCATGAATAAAAGACTCAAATTGAGAAGCTTCTACGGACGGGTTTGATACCAACTCCACATTTTCATCATCCATTTCATCTTCTTGTCGAACAATAGGTCTAGTTTGTTACTCATGGTCTCCCACATCTTGAACAGCATAGTCAAGAGTCTGAATTTCTTCTTGACAGTACTTCCCTATGAAGTTCAGACTTAGAAGGAAAATACATCAACTCTTCATGGAAAACAACATCCATCATTACAAATGTTTGTTGAGTTGGAGGATGATAACATCGATACCCCTTTTGATGAACATCATATGCAACGAAAACACATTTCAATGCACGAGGGGACAACTTGTTGCGTTGATGTTTATGGAGGTAAACAAATGCAATACATCCAAAAACATGAGGCGATAGGTTTGGGACCATTGGAGCATTCACTGCTTTACCAAGAGCCTGAAAAGGTGTCTCGAACCGAAGAGAACTAGAGGTTACCCGATTGATTAGGTAGGTTGCAAAAGTAAGTGCTTCTCCCCAAAAGGATAATGACATGTGAGCCTCTATTAATGAGGCATGAACGAACTCCAATAAGTGCCGATTTTTTCGCTCAACAATACCATTTTGTTGGGGTGTGTAGGGACAAGTAGTCTGATGAATGATACCATGTGTTGAAAAGTACTGTTGAAGATCTGAACGTTGATATTCTCCTCCATTGTCACTTCGAAGGACCTGAACTCATGTATTATACTGCGTACGAACCATTTTGTGAAATCTCTGAAAGAGTAAATTAACCTCCCCTCTAGATTTCATTAGACATACCCAAGTCATTCTTGTACAGTCATCGATAAAAGTAACAAACCAACGAGATCCACCTAAAGTAGTAACTTGTAATCACCCCCAGACATCTAAATGTATAAGCATAAAAGGACTTGGACTTTTGTTGAATGTTGTTGGAAGTGGGACTCGATGGCTTTTTGATAGTTCACAAATATCACAGTGGAAGTTATTAATATCATTTTTTTCAAATAAACTTGGAAAAAGTTTCTTTAAGTAACCAAACGAAGCATGTCCGAGGCGCCGATGCCATAACCAGATGTCATATTTTTATTTATCCCTTTTTGAGTAATCTACTGTCA